ACTGACAGCATATTTGTGATTTTTTTTTTAATAGAATGTTCAGGTCTCCAGGTGGACAATGTTTATTACCAAAGTGCTGTAATCTTTTTTGAATGAATGGTCCTTCATAGATGTAATGGTGCCCCTTGAAGAATTGTTCCACTCCGTTTGGACAACTGTTTGATTTAATTTGTATTACCAAGCCTTACAGTAACCCACAAGTTGGAAATATGGTGAAGTTTGGTGACCTTCCTTTGTAAATCCTCTCAGTCAATGCTAATGGTGACACACTTTAAATCTCTGCATTCAAACAGTGTACTGATGAATAAACACTTATGAAAATAAGAGTACATATAAAATTTGCAGCAATCTTTTTAACAGACTGAGGGAAGATGGGTATACCAGCAAAGAATAGACTCCACTCATTAATGTGTACTTGCCTCATATTAGACAGACTCCATGTGCTTGTTAGTGTGCTTCCAATACCATTAGACATCTAGTGTGCCAAAAGAAAAAAAAAGGCTTAATACTGTGAATACTGCTCGGACAGAACTTATATCACATACCAAAAGATATCCTTTGTAAAACTTCAGATACATTTTAAGAAACACCCTATTGGAAACAACACAAATCATAAATGACTGTATTTATAAAACTGCACAAATTGTATGTAAAAAAAAAAAAAAAAAAAATAAGAAGCAAAGCAAAAACTAAAAAACCCACAAAAGCAGTGTATTTAGTATTTATAATCCATCTAGCCCAACATGTTTTATCCCAACAGACTTCACTAGGCATCCTGGAATAAACACAAACACCATTGATTATATCTTCTAAACTCCTCCTATTTGGGTTGCAAAGAAAACCATCAGTGACATGCTAAAGTTGCTATAAAAACCATGACTGGCAACTGTATAATTAAGGCTAAACACATTAGAAGACTGGTGAAACACAATATCACTATTATACATTTAATGCAGATATCTTACATCAATGATTTATTCTAAACTTACAACTTTGAAATTATATTAATAGAAACTAGATACACAATTATGTCTGGGTACTATTATACATGTAACTAGGATCATAGTACAAATAAACATTCCAGGTGATTGTGTTCCTTCCTATTCATCTGCTTCTAATGGAACATATTAGATACAATACAACAAATAGAACCTAATATGTCTCTATTTATTCATGTTTAAATTGTATAAAACATTTAACAGGTATCCATGTATTATTGCAAGACATAATAAATAGCATAAAAAGCATAAAAGCAATATAAAAAAAATAATGGAATACAGCGTCCCTGACTAAAATAATGTATTCTCATGAACTATCTATAAAACAATTGATGTCTTATTCCACATTAGGTCCACGGGGCATATCTTTTAACTTCATAAATTAATGTTGTTTATTTTTTAATATATTTTTCCCTCATTCTATGGCACTCTCCCAGTGAGGTTTTAATCTGTCAATAGCAAACAAGTTTAGTCCTGCAGGATTTTTGTTATGTTTTGTCTCAAAGTTCAGCATGCTGTACAAATGTAAGCTTTTTCCAGTATTACACAGGTATTTCCACATGGTGGGCAGCCTGATCACAGATCTTCCAGCATCTATGACTGGGCAATGAAGTAGCAGCAGTTCTCTCTGACAAGGTCATCCCACGAAGTCCGGAAGTGACGAAACGCGTTAAGGGTGTGACATCAGGACGCACGTACGCAGACCGGAAGTGTCGCCGCGGCCATTTTTTTGGTTATTCACACATGGCTTACTGCATTTGTTTGGTAGAATTCGCATAGGAGCCATGTTTGGAGCTGGAAATGTGGAATTTTTAATGTAAGTGGCTATTAAAAATCTTTCCCTATACTTTGGAGATGAGTCTTGAGACCCTTCTTGTCTTTTGAGGACCTTGGAAAATATCTTTGGAGAGGAAATAGAAGATCTCTGATTGAATGCTGATTATATATATACAGAGGGTAATAGTATGTAATACTATTGGTGTTGGTGGATGCACAGTGTTGCAGTGTTCACGGAGTGGTCACAGTTTATTTTATATGTGCACTATATATAATAACTAATTCAACAAAGAGTTTTGCACATTTTCTTAGGTTGTGTTTTGCACAGAGTGCATATATTTTTATATAAAGGTAATGCACTAGAGTATCTATATATTTTTTTTTTGAGGTATCACGGGATGAAATAGGATTCCTTCCGATTGGATGATAAAGTTTGGAAATCTGGGACTTTCTTTGTTTGGACACTGGATTTTTCATTGGACTTTTTCTTTTTTCTTTTGGACAATTTAGGGTTTTTTTTTTTTATTACATATGACACTGTAAGGTTTAATTAGAGTTTTATTATTATTTTATTTTATCACAAAAAGGTTATAATATATGATTATTGCACTTTCTAGGGAGAAGGTATGACTTTTTGATGAAATTGGGGTGGAGGAGGTTATACATCTATTTAAAGGTCATCCCTCTGCTCTTACTTGCTAAAGGCATCTTCACACTGTTTCACTAACCGTACTGTGTGAAGGCAGATACAGGCACTGTATTCATTGTATGTAAGACCCCCCTCCCACTCCTTCTCACTCCATTCCCCCCCCCCCCCCCAAACCTTCTTTACATTCAAACTTGGTGCTTATATCTTTTCTGGACATCCCCCATCATTGTTCCTCACTTATGCCCCCACATCACGCAATACATGGTGATTCCTCTCACCTTAGCAGTGCATGTATGATGATGGTTCCAAGTGGACCTTATGTTCCATCCCATTTTTCTTCTATTGTATAACTTGATTGCCGTCCTGTCCAAGCACCCTTCAACCCTGTACCTCTTTGTTACTTGTTACAGGATGTATATCTGGTTTAACTTACTGTACACCAAGTACGTTCTACCTTTCTCAATAAAATGTTTTGAATTTTATATAGGATTATATTTGACGTGAACCAGATCTTTGGCCACATAGACCTAAGAAGGTTCACTTAACTGTTTCCCTTCCCAGCTTCATATCCCTTTACTCCCCCATCACTGTTTTCAACCACTGGAAAGGAGGAGGCCCTGTGTAATTTCCAAATGGGCCATATTATGCAGTCCTAAGGTTTCTTAGCCCATCCACATGTGACAGCATTTGGTTTCTTAACAGCCAAGCTCCAAGCACCACCACTGTCACATCAAAAGTGAGGGAGTGAGGCACATGCTTCACCATACCCACATCTACCAGGTCTTTCTCTTTAGCTGAATAAAGAAAAGTATGTGTAGCCAGTAGGACAGCATCCAGGTAAACCTGTTGCTTTGTTCTTCGTGGGTTCACTTTAATGGTCTATAATGAATATAGAACTGGGTCAAATCATGCTTTTATTATGTCTGCTCAGAATTCAATATACATTGATTATGCAGTTTAATTATATCTGCCCTTATCTACTAGATGAAATATTGATAGGTTGTACTTTTCTGGCATTCAAGATCATACATGCCAACTTTTGTACATCATTGTTTAGAATATAATCTACAACACACAAATTTTTCAAGAGCTATCATGTATTCATTCATCTAGTAATAGTCTTCTAAAGACTGGACTCGATACAGGACAACGCATTCCATTCCCTTAATGACCAGCATGCTTCTGTATATACAGATCAACATTTCACATTATTTACTCGTAGTCAGCAACTGACCCTCCACACATTCACAAATACTGCTAATTGCTTAACTGACAGAAATAGATTTTTAACCTCCAGAGCAAGTTCAGGAGCGCTTACATTAAAACAAAAACAAAAAAAAGCCGAAGTGCATCTAAAATTACTTTTAATTCATATGTTTGGTCTGATTGGAATCCACCTTCACTGAAAATGTAAGTTTTTTTTTTTTTTAAACAGGTAAATATGAATTATTACATATGAATGTTTCATATTACCTTTTGTAGCCCACTCTAGGGAAGCAGATTTCTGAGGGTTGACTGATGGGCTGTGCTGTAAAAACAAACCTGAAGAGCAAAGAGATCAGATTATACAGACTGCAGAGGGGGTTACAACAGATGGACATACTATTACCCTCTCTCTTTGCAGCGATGGGAATGTCTAGTTTAGTTATACAGAGACTCTTGATAATCAGTCAGTGCTGAGCTTTTTTCTTAGAAAAACAATAATGCTTTTTAAACCAAGTATCAAGTAAGGGTGGCACTGTATGAACTGACAACAACCCTCCAGGCAAAAGTAATATTCATTATAATGCATATATATTTACTGTTTTACCAGTCTGATGATTACTTACCTCTACCAAACTGCATAGCTAGATTTAACTTTGTCATTCCATCCTACTGTTTCTTGGATCCCCTTATTGCTGATTGGAAAAGAGGTGATTATTCAGATTAATTAGATTGACCAGATTAATTGTCCAATGAGAGGCTGAGAGCTGACACAGAGTGGTTATTAAAAGTGATATTAAAGGTTTGATTTTTATTTTTTATTTCAAATAACAAACATGTCATGTCGCTCCATAAAACGCACCTGACCATAAGACATGCCTAGGTTTTAGAGGAGAAAAACAAGAAAAAAAATATTCTGAACCAATGGACTGCAGACACAGTACAGGAGGTGACTAGAGACTGCGGACATAGTACAGGAGATGACCAGAGACTACAGACATAGTGCAGGAGATGACCAGAGATTGCGGACATAGTACAGGAGATGGCCAGACACTGCGGACACAGTTCAGGAGATGACCAGAGACTGCAGACACAGTACAGGAGATGGCCAGAGACTGCAGACACAGTACAGGAGATGACCAGAGACTGCGGACATAGTACAGGAGATGGTTAGAGACTGCGGACACAATACAGGAGATGACCAGAGACTGCAGACACAGTACAGGAGATGACCAGAGACCGCAGACATAGTACAGGAGATGACCAGAGACTGCGGACATAGTACAGGAGATGACCAGAGACTGCGGACAGTACAGGAGATGACCAGAGACTGTGGACATAGTACAGGAGATGACCAGAGACTGCAGACAGTACAGGAGATGACCAGAGACTACGGACATAGTACAGGGGATGATCAGAGACTGCAGACATAGTACAGGAGATGACCAGAGACTGCAGACATTGTACAGGAGATGACCAGAGACTGCGGACATAGTACAGGAGATGATCAGAGACTGCGGATATAGTACAGGAGATGACCAGAGACTGCGGTCACAGTACAGGAGATGACCTGAGACTGTGGACATAGTACAGGGGATGACCAGAGACTGCAGGCACAGTACAGGAGATGACCAGAGACTGCGGACATAGTACAGGAAATGACCAGAGACTGCAGACATAGTACAGGAGATGACCAGAGACTGCGGACAAAGTACAGGAGATGACCAGAGACTGTGGACATAGTACAGGAGATGACCAGAGACTGCGGAGACAGTACAGATGAGCAGAGACTGCAGACAGTACAGGGGATGACCAAGAGACTGCAGACAGTACAAGGATGATCAAGAGACTGCAGACAGTACAGGAGATGACCAAGAGACTGTGGACCTTTGGGGAGGGAAGGGGAACGGGTACCTGAATTTGACAGGTACTCGCTCCCACTTCCTGAGGAGTTGTCTGTGGCTGTGTCGGGTGTCCACTGCGCGTGCGCGAGAAGCGCTGCGCTTTGTGAATGATGTGACATTTTCTGGGACCTGTCATGTGTCCCAGAAGACACCGGACCATTCAGAAAGCGCAGCGCTTCTCGCGCATGCGCAGTGGGCAATCAGCTGTCACAGTCAGGTGCCCACACTAAAGATGCCAGCGCGGGAAGACTGCACAGCGCTGGACCGAGGAACAGGTAAGGTCCTGCTGCAGAGAAGAGCTGAGCGACCGGCCCGGTATTCTGACACAGTGGCAGTGGTGGAAATACCGGACCGGCTGCTCCATATTCGCTCCATAAGACGCACTGACATTTTCCCCCCTTTTTTGGGGGGAAAAAAGTGCGTCTTATGGAGCGAAAAATACAGTACCTGTTTTGTGCAGTGGTTTTGCACAGAGCAGCCCCAATCTTCCTCTTCTCAGATCCTCCCTCTTACTATGGGAGTACTAGTTCGTGCTCGCTCCTGAGCCTTGCTCTGTGTGTCCATAAGGCACATAGAGCCACAGCTCAGCCTCACCTCCTGCTCACTGGCTGTGATTGACAGCAGTGGGAGCCAATGGCTCTCACTGCTGTGTCTCAGCCAATGAGGAGAGAGAGACCCAGGACAGCCGAGTCTCCCATGTACATTGCTGGATTGAGAGGGGGATCAGGTGAGTATTAGGGGGGCTGTGGGCGGGGCAGCACACAGAAGGTTTTTTATGTGCATGCATAGAATGCATGCAGGTAATAAAACCCCTTCAGCATTTACAACCACTTTATATTAAGGAAATAGCTGTACCTATATGCATTGTGCTTGATGTACAGTGAGGAACAGAAGTATTTGAACACCCTGCGATTTTGCATGTTCTCCCACTTAGAAATCATGGAGGGGTCTGAAATTCACATTGTAGGTGCATTCCCACTGTGAGAGACAGAATTTAAAGAATAAATTCAGGAAATCACATTGTATGATTTTTAAAGAATTTATTTGTCTTGCACTGCTGAACATAAGTATTTGAACACCTGAGAAAATCAGTGTTAATATTTGGTACAGAAGCCTTTGTTTGCAATTACAGAGGTCAAACGTTTCCTGTAGTTTCTTGACCAGGTTTGCACACACTGCAACAGGGATTTTGTCACCAGAAAATGATCACCATCTTTGCTCAGGCTTTGCCCAGGGTCAACAGCTACTTTTTTAATAAGAGGCTGGTGTGTTGCCATATATTTTGCCATGACAAGAATGTATTCATGCAGATTTGTAAAATAGCTGATAGATCCCCGTAAATGGCTAAACATTGGCAGGATTTTGCTACAAGCTATGTGAAGACAGTCATGGGCCACTGGCTATGGTAGCAGGATATATGGGTACTGCAAGCACATTTATACTTTTATACGGTTTATTATTCTTGTATGTTTTGGCTAATCACAGCAGCTCTGGTATTCTGGGCAAGTAAATTTATCATTCTACAATGTGATCTAGTGTTGATAATAAAGCAGACAACATGCTGCCTCCAACAACACATTTTGATTATATTTACCTTATGCAGTAATCCCCTGGGTACAGGTGGAGCCCTTCAAGAGAAAACTATATTGTATGAAGTCAATTTTACTATAGTTTTTGGTTCTGTATGAATTAATGCCATAGGATATACCTCTTATTGGTGAAGCCAACAGGACCTGCTGTGCAGTAGAGTAGCAGTTATGTCAGCATGGATTGGCTGAAATAGGTGTTGTTAAAATGTATATATATTTCCTTACATAATGGTTGCTAAAGCAAACCTGAATAAACAGTTTCCATTGTGTGATAAATATAATTTTTAATTTATTCCTGAATAACCCCTTCCTTTCTCTGATCTTCTTAACTAATCTTTTTTGCCAAATTATTTTGATTAAAATAAATATTTAAATTTTGATTCTTAAGACTGTGTGTACAAAAATTAGCAAACATTATTATATTTTTCATTTATTGTGCTAGTTTTTTTAGTGTAAGTGATTTAAAATGTGAATTTTGTATAAACGGCAGTCATTTCATTTGCAAATAACATTTTACACTTTGTACTAGAAACATAATTATAGTGTGATGATAAAGAGGACAAATCTTAGAATATCCATGGTAACAGTAAAAGGCATATGTATAAAGCAATGAATGTGATATTCACCAAACATTCACTGCAGGTAAAACAGTCACTGTAAAAACACACATCAGGAAGATTCACCTGAACTAAATTTTTGGCGAATGCTTCACTCGCTGCTTTAAAAATATGCGCCTAATTGTTTTAAAGTTATCACTGAATAACTGATTTTGAAAAAAAAGATGACTTGACATACTGGAAAAGGGTTTTTTCTGTTAAATAGTTATTATTGTTTTTAAATACATAAAAATTGATTTTATCTCTTGGAAGGAAATAACACTGTACCATAAAAAATTAAAGAGTTATTGCTAAATTATTAGGTGCGCAGCCTACCTTTCAATTAATGTTCCTTTCCTGGTGCATCCTCATGGCAGCACACAACAGGCTAATATACTGCCCCTTTAACCCTAAAGGAAAAGATATCTATAAGTTTGCTTCCCTTACCTCATATCAACATTCACGTTTTCAAGCCATGGTATGGGAGAGAATCGATGTGCTGCAATGAAGATGCACCAGGAAAGGATAACTACAGAAAGCATACAATTTTTCTTTTTCATGGGGCATCATGTCAGCACACAATGGGATATAATGAACATAGAGTTGGGAGGGTACTGCTAATACACAATCTATTCAGTGTTGGATGAGCTAGAAGAAATGATGCTCCTTTCAAACTCCACTGTTGTATGAGCCACTGGATGAACTCTGTAGTGATTTTCAGGTCCTTCTAGAGGACCAAGTGGTCACCTTACAGATATCCTCAGCTAAAACCTTGGATAGTGCTGTCCATGACACTGCCACCCTCCTTTCTGAGTGTGCCCAGAGTGTGGGAAGGGCCCTGATCCTGTAAGACTTCCTAATTAATTTATTTGGCCAAGAGGCTATACTTCTGGATGGGGCCTTCTGGCCTTTTATTCCTTCACGTGAAAGGAGAAAGAGCCTTTCCAATTATCTAAACTCTGGAGTTGTTTCAATGTATGCTTTTAATGTTTTTTCCAACTCATCTGAAAAGGTGCGAAGGACTGTGGAGTTGCCTTCGAAAGGAAAGGAATAGTGGTCTTTAGACTACTCTGACTGGGAGAAATTGGCAATCAGGAGTAGAATCTGCAGGTCTTGTGACATTTCTCTTCCATGTGGTGCCATTGCTGATAGCACGAAATAGAAGGGAGTTTTCTTTGTTGAGTAGCGCTCTTTTCTGCTGGACACCTCTTTAATTAATAATTAGACTCACCTGTAGTTGAATTCGTGTTAATTAGGATTTTGTTGTCTAAAATTTAGCTTTGCACCTAAGACATTCATTTGGGGTGTGTTCATTTTTGCAACATGGTCTTGAATTAAATTGTTAGGAAAAATACTTTTTTGTGTGTGCAAATTAACAAATCATGTTTGCAATCCATGGCCCGCATTTGTGGGACTATTTTGTAGTATAGTGTCCCATAGCAAATGTTGATTCTGCAATAAAAGTAAAGGTTTTCTGACAAATCTGTTGGGGTGTACTCATTTATGCTGAGTGTGTGTGTGTATATATATATATATATATATATATATATATATACACACACACACACATATACACTATATTGCCAAAAGTATTGGAACACACCTCCAAATCGTTGGATTCAGGTGTTCCAATCACCTCCATGGCCACAGGCATATAAAATCAAGCCTATATAGAAAAGAGGAAATTGCCATCATATTCTGATATAATCTAATGACCTTATGATATCTCCGTCTCACTACTTGTTGAGTGTGGATTATAAACCCAAAAAAAAATACTTAAGAAAACAAAATGGCAGTTGACTAGTGCAAAATCTGCCTGAAAGTGGTTTATAGTTAATGCTATGCGGAGTAATATCACTAAATTGGTGAATGCAATATTGTATTTATTAGATCTCATGGATCATGAAAAGGTGGACATGGACATGGTGAACATAGCACAATCATAGAAATAAAATCAAAGAGTTAAAAATAAAAAAACGTTCGGCGTCTTCAATTGAGCTGCATAAACGATGTTGTTTGATGATAAATTCGAGGCTATAGTAGTTCTATATTCATTAAATGAGATTTCCATACAGAGTATCAAGGTCACTTTGTTTATTCTTCCTTATCTGTTCTTTATTATGAACATGAAAGTATATATGGAAAAATTCCTAGAAGTAAATGGTGGAATACAGTGAATTCAAAAGAATCATAAAGCTATGTCATCATTATTCAACCTCGTTAGATGCATCCATGGGAATCTAGTTAATGACTAAATATGCATCTCATTACCTTCTTAGTGGATGTACCATATCTTGTGAATGGTGGATATAGATTCCGGTGTATGACCAAGAGTATTGGACTAGTATCCAAGAAATTATGTGTATAATGGTGAGGTTTCTAAAATAAATAAAGGGAATTAGTGAAATATTACTGTGAAACATATAAGTGTTCCAATTAAATTAATTTGTGAAATTACCATATTAGAAACCAGATCAATTTCCACTGATGAGGTAATAAACATACACACGCAGGTAATGATGATGAAATCCAAAAATATAGCATAGGAGTCTCTTATGATGCATTTAAACATTCATGTTTCCCTAGGGTATGACCAGGGGCGGACTGACCATCTGGAGTGCTCGGGGTCAGTAGGGGGCCCCATGAGAAGCCCCTGGTACCTTTTTCATAGGCTTTTTTGAGTTTGGGCAAGGACACAGGGGCCCCATAATCCCTTATGGCCTGGGAAGACCATGAGTTGTCAGTCCGTCCCTGGGTATGACCAAATATGGGTTAAAAAAATTCCTCTAATTTGAGAGCAAGTGCGGTTCCTTTAGGGATGCGTTAGACATATGTCTCATATAAAAATTGTATTACAGATGGTATTCAATATACCTATTAGATCCAAAAAATTCCCTCAAATAGAGCTCTATTGACCCTATCGCGGCATGCGGTATAGTCCATTTAAAAAAATTGCGGTATATAATGACTCTGTGTATATGTTGACCAGCTCTCACCTCTAGCTGCACTCGGTTTATGACTGTAGCCTGTTTCCTGAAACATCCCCCACTATTCATGTGATCCTTATCAGCTTCTAAGTGGGGT